TATACATGGAGCCAATTTCATGGTGAGGAAAAAGCCCTGTGCCTGGCTACTGAACATGTACAGAAAAGGAGAAACTTGTTCTCTTTCCTTCCTACCAGCTATAAGGTATAATGGTGATTCTCTGAGCTCTAGAGGGCTCCAGAAGGCAATTATAGCTGAGTTCACAGAACAAAAAAGAGACACAAGGAAAAGTCCTTAACAAGATAATTCACATATTTAGAAGTATTCATTCAGCATCTCTACCCAACATCTCAGCCTCCATGCAGGTGTGAACAAAGAGTCATGTGGGAAGCACTGTCCTGCAGAGATAAACAGAGTTGTGTTGGGAAGGCCTTCTGCTGTAGAGACGGTCACTTCATCTGCTTTCAGTCCTCTGTGCCAATGAGTAGGAGGCATTGGTTCTACCCAAATACATGAACTGTATTTGTGGTGGAAGAATGCTGGCTTCTGCCTGGGAGACCTTTAGGTAAAGAGATCAGAGATTCTGCACGGAACCCCCTCATCACCAACTCCCACTCAGATTAAAGAGGCCAAATGCTGCTTCAGTCAAATCATAGTAGGAAAGGGGAAAAGACAGAGAAGAAACTGGGGAAAGGGTGAATCAGTGTGGATGACTGCATGGAGTATAAAGAAAAGGACGTATTCAAGTTAGGCCCACTCTGGTCCTCCTAGAGGCTGCTAAGCCTAGTGACTAGTCTTGTAAAGACTAACTCCCTCAGTGTGGGCAGAGGTTGAAGCAGCCCTGGGGTATGCCCACAAATGAAGCATAGGGAATCAGAAAGTGAGGGAGGAGGGAATATAAAGAGAAAAACCACATTTCAAGCAGAATAAAACTCAATGAAAACTCAGACTGCAAACAGATAAACAGAAAGAATTCTAAATCTAGAAGGAAAGATGAATGCCGCATCTTTAATGAGATTTCCACGCTCTCTTAACAAAGATGACAAAATAAAGTGAAACAGTATAGAGGGAGAAGAGAACAGAGCCCAAGACAAAACTGTGGGATACCTACCATTAGCAAGTATGATCAGGATACAGTAAAGGAAGCTAAGAAGGAGCGGTCAGGTAGGAGACAGTATAGTCCTGAAAACCTAAATAGAAGAAAGCATCAAGGAGAGGAAAATGATCGACGCTGTTGAAGGCTGCAGAGAGGCGAAGGATGAGAATTAAGAAAAGGCCGTGAGATTTGGCAGTTAAGAGATCAATGGTAACTTTGGAGCGAGCATTTCAGTTGGTTGATGAATTCAGGACTTAGATTGTAGAGTTAAAAAGAAAATGAGACGAAATAAGATGGAGGCATAAGTTTAGCCACAAAAGGCAGGAAAGATGGGATTATAGTTATGAGAATGGATCACATGAGGGATGAGAGTAGGGATGGACCAAGTGAAGGTTTTTTGGAGGTGGGGGAGATAGGAGGATATTTTTAGGCAGTAGGGAGACAACTATTAAATGGGGAGATTGATGATAAGTGAGAGAATTGGGATAGTAGAGGGGCCAGTCTGCTGGAGAAGATGGAATGAAATGGGATGATTTGTGTACCTCAAGGGGATAGCCTTGGCAAGGAGAGAGGCTGCCTTATTTGAGACGGAGGTGAAGGAGAATAGAAGGCATCTGGATAATGTGAGATGAGAGGAAGAGAAGGAGTTCTTGGTCAATGACTTCAATATTTTCATTAAAATATTAGAAAAAGTTCCCAGTTGAGAAGATGGGGAGAAGGGGAGCATGGGAAGTTTTGGGAGAGCTGAAGAGGTTTTGAAGAGCCCCCACGGAGAGAGCAGTAGGGACTTAATTAACGAGGTATAGAAGGATTACCCTGCAGTAGTAAGGGCCCAGTTGGGGTTGTTTAACAAACATGTCTCTTTTTTCATAAGGGAGGTATTGGACTACAACTTTGAAATGAGTCACACATAAATACAGCCAATGTGTTGTTCGACTTAACACTGTACTTCTTTGTTGCAAGGGAGGATTTTATTGAAGAGCGGGGGAGTGCCGGGGTAGGGGAGGACAGGAAAGAGAATGTCATTGGGAAGTGATGTAAGAAAGAAAAAAAGTGTCTAAACATTTTTTTTTATTTTTTAAAGCTATAGATGTCTTCCTGTTACTATTTCTAACTTAAAACTAATCTATTAAACCTTTACTAGATTTTCTTAGGAAGTAATAGTCACTGTTTACATGGAATTATAAACATCATTCCTAGTTTATACATTTCAGTTCAGTAATATTTGGGCAGTTTAAAACTTGGTTAAGCACTGTAAGATTTTCATAGAAGCAGTTCTATGTAAAATAACATTTAGTAATGATAGAATAATAAGGCCCACTGGGACTTCATTAAGTTACTGCTGCTGCACTCATGCACAATTGACCCTAAGCTGTTCAAGACCCACAGGGCAAGAATTCTTGGTTTCTCCAAGTTGATTGGTAATTTGCATTAATTTTTTATAAGCCTTAACAAGTGTGTAGAGCAAATGTATACAAATGTACAATGTTTTAGCCACCATGACCTTTGCTTAAATTACATGAAAATAAATGCAGATATACAGTGGTCTTTTATTACTGGTTAAGATTAGGGTTTGTTAGCAGGAACTTATCCATAATACAAAGTTGTAATTAAACAGCTTTAAAAATCATGGACTATAGTGAATACCCTTTGACCCAGCAATACTATTACTATGTCTATACCCCAAAGAGATCATAAAAAAGGGAAAAGAACCTACATGTACAAAAATATTTATAGCAATTCTTTTTGTATAGCAAAGAATTGGACATTGAGGGAATGCCCATCAATTGGGGAAAGGCTGAACAAGTTGTGGTGTATGAATGTGATGGAATATTATTATTGTATAAGAAATGATGAGCAGGATGATTTTATAAAAGCTTGGAAAGACTTATATGAACTGATGCTGAGTGAAGTGAGCAGAACCAGGAGAACATTGTGCACAGTAAAAGCAACATTTTGTGATAATAGACTTAGCTCTTCTCAGCAATACAAGGATCCAAGGTAATTCTAAAAGACTCATGATGGAAAATGCTATCCACATCCAGAGAAAGAACTATAGAGTCTGAATGCAAATCAGAGCTACTATTTTCACTTTTTTTTCTTTCTCATGGCTTTTTCCTTTTGTTCTGATTCTCCTTTCACAACATGACTAACGTGGAAATATGCAATATGATTGCATATGTAACCTCTATCAGATTGCTTGCTGTCTTGGGGAAGGACGGAGAGAGAACATTTTGGAACTCAAAATCTTATAAAAATGAACGTTGAAAACTATCTTTACAAGTAATAGGAAAAAATAAAACACTATTTACAAAAAATAAAATAAAACAAGAAAAACAAAAACTCACGGACCATAGATCTGCAGATGGATTATGCAATGATGAGAATAGGAAGAAATATATAGGGGCAGCTAAGTGGCGCAGTCTGGCCTCAGACACTTGACACTCACTAGCTGTGTGATCCTGGGCAAGTTGCTTAACCCCAATTGCCTGACTAAAAAGCAAAAGAAAGAAAGAAATATATATCATGATAGGAAGTATTTGTAATTCAGCAGGTGAAACAACATAAAGAGAGCCAGGGGAATTGGGGCCAATACGATCATTCATGTTGGTTATACTTTTAATAGTGTTCTTTGCCCTTTTCTCTACTGTGCCTATTTCCCTTTGGTTAAGCCACCAGCATCATGATTCCAATCCTATTTCCTAAAATAAACATCCTAGGAGAGGCAGTGTAACATAGTGGATAGAATGCTAAACTTGGATTCAGGAAAACCTAGGTTAAAAATCCCATTTCTGAGACGTATTAGTTGTTACGCTCTAAATGTGTGTTGTAGAGTGAGTCTTGCTTTTTGATTCAAGAAAGAGAGAGACCAGTCAAAATGGCAAAATAGGAGGAAGGAGTGTAGCCCAGCTCCCCAGGCAATTATTCCAACAAAGGTCTCAGAGAAAAGTGTCAGAATGAGTCATGATCAGAAACCCAAAGAGAAACCACAGTAGTTCATCTTTCCAGTCCAGGCTCACAAATTTGACCCGTAGTCAAGGCACTAGGTCAGAAACTGTGGAACAGTGGAGGATCCCAGGAGCAGAACAGAACTGCAGTCCTGTTGCCCTGACCCCGGAGAGGTGATGGGAAGCTTAGACTCCGTCCTACTGGCTGTCTCTCCATACCAGAGATAGTCTTCTCATGCTGGACAATCCCTCCCCCATTGGTGACTTCCTCCTTGGGCGCCCATTTTGTGGAGAAGCTTAAGCCAATCAGCCTTTATCCCCCTCCCAGCCCTGTTCCCAACTTTCTGGATTTCAAACATAAATACCTGTACCAGATGCCTTCATCTCTTCACGCTGTTTTCAGCTCCTTGTTGTATTGTCTTCCCCCTTTAGAATATAAATTCCTTTGGACATGGACTGTGTTTTCGCTTGTATATCTGTCCTCATATCCTCATGTTGACTGAACTTTTTACCCATTGGGGAAAAAAATTCTATGAATTTGTGTGGGAATTGTACTAAAAAAAAAATATCCAGTAATTTTGGTCCTTGCTTTGCACCTGCCTTTGGTTCACCTTCACTACCACCTCCACCTCCACCCCTACCCTTCATCTCCCTGCCTCCCCTCACCTCCTCCCCTGCCAGATGAGTATAGCTCATCGTTTGGAAAAAACTTTGCATAACCCTGCATTGGAATCACCATGGAATACTTACCTAAGTAACAGATTCCATGAAAATTAGAATGGACCAAACATAAATTAATGACTTCATGAAACAGTAAGACATACTACACCATATTACAAAAGATTGGAAAAATAGAAGAAAAATGTGTATCTCTGATGAAATAATTAAGAATCATTGAACTACCTAAAAACTATCACCAAAAAGAGAGTCTGGATGTCATACTTTTTCTGAATTTTTTTTTTGTCTCCTGAATCTTATAGAATTTGATGAGTCGTTTTAGGAGGGGAAAAAACAGAGAAGTATCTCATCATTTTCCCTTTCTGTTTGCTAAATAGGACATCCTGTCCATCTAGGGATCATGGAGAGGAATGGCTCCCCAGAGAGTCCCCAACAAGGCCAAGGGTGGTATGCAACCCCCAAGTGTGGGTGGCTGAGAAAACAGGGAGAATTTACCAAGACTTGGCACACGTACTGGTTTGTGCTCAAGGGAGACCAACTCTACTACTTCAAGGATAAAGATGAAACAAGACCATTGGTAAGTAAAAAGGGAAAAATATAAAAGAGATGGGCCCCAGAACTTTGTCTTGGGCCCTTTTTAATTTTTTCTCTACATTATCTTTTATCTTCTATATATTATTATATTGTATAATATTATGTATCTTATGAATTATAGCATCAGCTCCCCTGGCTTCAATGATTATCTCTGTGCATGATTCTGGGATCTATATATCCAGCCCTGTGCTCTTTTCTGAGCTCTAATCCTGCCTCACCAACTGACTCTTAGAACCTTAAGCTTACAGGAATCTCAAACTCAGCAGAACAAAACAGAAATCGTTATTTTTCCCCCCAAACCCTCCTTTTTGCAAACTTGCCCATCACCAGCAAGGCCATCACTGTACGTACGTCCAGGCCTTCGGGTTCAGATCCTCAGTGTCGTCCCGGACTCCCCACCCTCCCTCACCCTAAATATCCAGTTCTTTGTATCTGTCTCACATCTGTCATACACATCCCATTTCCGCAGCCACATAGCAACCACATGAGTATTGGCTTTCATCATCTCTTCCCTGAACTGCTGCAGCACCTAAATAATATCCATGCTTCCAGTGTTTTCCCTGCTAGTCCATCTTCCACGTCGCCACCAGAGTGATTTTCCTAAAGCGCAATCCTGACCTCGTTACCATCTGACTCAATATACTCTAGCAGAGACCCATTACCTCTAAGTAATGAATGAACTCTTCTGCTTGGCATTTGAACCTCTCCACAACCTCATCCTCTCCTATCTTTCTGGCCTTATTACACATTACTCCCTCCATGTACACTTTAGTCTAACCATACTGGCCTACTCGAGGGGTCATCACCAGTTGTCTTGACTTTTGTCTTGCCACTGGACTCTCATGAATCTGGAGGAGAGAGTGAGGCTGGTGACTCTGCACATCTCTGCCTCACTTAAATCCAGTTCACTTGTAAGTCAAGACATCACCCTCCTGAGGTCATTGATCCTCTTCCAGAACAAAGGACGAACAACTGTCTTACTTGTCATTACTCATGCAGACAAAGGAAATACTCCATCTCCCGTCTCTGTTCCTTCATGTTTGCAATGCTCTCCCCTCATCTTCTCCTCTTAAAATTCCTGACTTTTTTCAAGACTCAGATAAAATGCTCTATTCTGCAGAAGCTCTCACCTAGTTCTGCTAATGGCTGATGCCTTCCTCTTGAAGGTTACCATGTATCTAGTGTGTACATATAGGTGTGTATGTACATGTATGTGCACACATATGCATGTGGTTTTTGTGTACATGCGTGTATACACACGCGCACATGTGTACATGTATGTATAGGTATACACATATCTGTATGTGTTTGTGTGTGTATATGTATACATGCATATATGTGCGAGTGTATGTATGCACACACACGTGTGTATGTGTGTGTGCATATATGTATAGATATGTGCACAAACTTATGTACATGCTGCCTCCCTATTATGGTGTAAGCTATTTAAAGACAAGGGGTTAATTTTAACTTTTCTTTGTATCCCCTGTACTTGGTACAGTACCCGGCGCATAATAAGATTGTTGATTGACTTCAGACACTAGCTGTTGATCTTGAGCTCGTAATTTAACTTCCCTTTGCCTCAGTTTCCTCATCTGTAAAATAGGGATAATAGCAGCACCTGCCTTCCAGGGTTGTTGTAGGGATCAATTGAGTTAAAAGTTATGATTGCTTAGTTTGGCAGCTTGCGTGTAGTATGTATTATATGAATTCTGTCAGTGATAAAGATGATAATGATGAAGAAGAAGCCAGAAAAGGGCAAGGGCATATAGATATATGTTAGAAACCGAAGGTACAGTTATCCCTTCCATCTTGTGGGGGGGTTAGGGGCATGGTGCTCCCACAATCTGTAAAATCTGCATAAATTTTTTTGGCCTTCCTTTCGTACCAGAGAAGAAGTCTGAATGTTTTCTTTTTCTTTGGGGTATTTACCTTATTATAGAATTTGGGTTGATATTATACAATACTGTACATATATTTTATGCATTTCTGAGTTTCTAAACTTTTTCTGTATCCTCTGCTGGCCTTTGTGTGTCATCTGTAGCTTCTGCAAAGCTCCCCCAAAATTCCCATTTAATTATTTATGCCGAGCCACGATATATTGAAACCACAATAGGGAAAGTCACGACGTAGAAGGGATAGCTTCAATACAGCACAATTTGAAGGAGGAAGAAGTTCCAGTTCATTCTTGTTTTTGCTGGTGCCCAGCACAGTTACCACTATTGATTCAGTTTCAGATAACGAACATACCAAAATATTGAAGGAGCCTAGAGGCAAATTCCACTTACCTAATTTTAATTTTTACTTCGTTGCAGCAGAATGATGACTATGTCAGGCAAGCTTACTTAACGAGCGTTTAGGGGGCATTCACTGAAGACAGAACAGTAGCTTCAAGAATGTAATAGATCAACTTTTAATAAAGCTAGTTGATTTTTTTACAACTTGAAAAACTGCATGTAGCTCCTCACCCATGATTCTTGATATAGGTGGTTGTTGGTGAAATATGAAAAGTGCACAGAGTGCCCGAGGGGTCAGATTTTTAACCAGTGATTGTACACCTGCATGTGAGTTGTGAATCATGCCTGTGTCAAGTTTCAACATATATTTACTGAAATTTGGCATTGTACATACAATTTAATTAATTTCTACACTGTTACGTATTGTCATCTGGAGTTAATTTGTTGGTCTCAGTTTTGTTGACTGAACTTTTTACCCACTGGAAAAAAAAAATTCTATGTATTTATGTGGGAGTTGTACTCAAAACTATCCAATAATTTTGGTCCTTGCTTTGCACCTGCCAGTGGCTCACCCACCACTCCCACCCTTTACCACCACCCCCCTACCCTCACTCCCTCCCCTGCCAGGTGAGTGTAGGTCATAGTTTGGAAAAAAAACTTTGTGTACCCTCCATTGGAATCACTGTGGAAATGAAATGCTTACTCAGAATCCACCAGCACTGACATTGTTGAATTGAAAAATATGGTACTTTGATCAGAGAATGCTGGGAGGAAAAAAAAAAAGCAGAAAGAGGGAAAGTAAGGAGGCAAAGTTCAAGTTTGTGTGATTTCCTCCATCTGGTGCCATATGAGGAAATGCTGGATGCCCAGGCCTTTTGACCACCTCCCCCCCACCCCTTACCTTCAGAAAGATAATGATTGATGAGGGTGTTTGCTGTGCCAATAAGGTCAATGATTGGTGAGACAACCCCATTTGGCCTCTCAGGGGTGTTCACCTTCTTGTGGCTACTAGTTGGGGAAAGATTCTACTCCGTACCAATCATCCAATGTCTGTCTTTTTCTCTTTGTCATGAAAAGAAAGGACTCTAAGCAGAAAGAGCACTTTCTGCTCCTGTGGTCAGGGGCTCTTTGGACTGTCTATTCTTATATCTAATGCTGGCCTGGATGAGGATGTTTCTTTAAGGTCAACTGTCTTTTTAAGGCCTTTTTTCACAAAGGAGCAGTTAATCATAGAAAGAGCACAAAAAGTGTTTTTGCATAAAGGAAGAGATTCACATTAATTTTTAAATGATATAAGATGTTGTCATTGTTATGGATAAACATGTTGATACCTAATAGGAGTAAAAATAAGAATTTTGTTTTATTATAAACAGCTTTCAGATGGGATTTTGGATAGTTTTGACAAGAAATTGCAACTGTGGTGTAGATCTGAGGACCCAGGACTTGTCAACAGTGTAGAGTGGTGACCCTTTTGTGTGGGAGTAGTTTAATGTCATAGAGAAGCAAAGAAAAATCTTTATTAAAAACTGGAGAAATGTAAGGGTAAAGAAATTCATTTTCCAGGGCACTAAAGAGGCACACTACCTTGTTGGAGAGGTCAAAGCCAAGGCATGAGGAGTACCTCTTAGACTCTGCATACATGTTTTATGACTAAAGAGAATAAAACTAAGAAAATGAAAATATAAACATTTGGAGACTGAGGTATGACTGAGAAAGGGCTATTTATAATCAAAAGAAGCTGTTGCTCTTCGTCTGATCACTGCCCTAATCAGTTCCAGAGAAGAATCATTCCTGAGCTAATGAGGCCTCTTTCTTCAGAATTTAGTTAGGCCTTCATTAAGAATGAAGCAAAAAGATTTTGATGTGGCCCTTTGTTTCCTCAAAATTGATCATTGAAGAAAGACTCATCATTTTTCTGCTTCAGATTAGACCAAAGACTTTAGACCAGGAAATTCACATAATACTCTCTTGATATTTGCAAATGTCAGAAGCATAGTATGGTTTCACAAAGTTTAGAACATTCAAAAATGAGATTATAAGAAGGGTAACAAACAACTGAAACACGGAAAATATTTGTATTTTTATAAGAAATTATTTTCTCTGTCATCAACAGAAGAGCCATCATTTTTGGATTGTACCATCATTGTTCTCTTTTTTTTTTTCTTATGAAGCAGAGGCATCATTAAAGAAAATAAATCCAGGAAGACTGGTTGGACTAAACCAAGAATACACAGACGGCATATGTACTGGGGGGTGAAAGACAATTTGGAGAAAATTGAAGGTTCATTTCTCAAGATACCTGAAAGATTTTTATTTTTATAACGATTTCTTCCATCAGTTACAGTGGAACCTCTACATTTGTACTGTGCCATCATAACCCCAAATGTACCATATGGAGAAACAGAAATAGCAATAATGAAAGCAGAGACGGAAGGAGTAGTTAGTCTACACTAGGAATACATCATCTTCTGTACAGTTTTGAAGGATCAGTTCCCAAAATATCTAGATAATGAAGGATACAAAATGTTTGAAAAAAAATCTTATTTTATATTTCAAAAGTGATCAAGAAAATCTCAGTAACTACTGATCCACACACCTACTTTCTGATAAATACAATTCATTTTTAAAAATTTTTTTGTGATAAATATAATTTAAAGAATGAGAATTGGTTATATACATGTAGAAAGCATGCTTGATGAAAATATGAGAAGGGAACAGGTAAGCTTTTACCAAAGATAGTCCAAAG